ACATGCCAGAGATTTCAAGCTGTGGCAAAATATATAATATAAACAAAACCGTGTTGTCATAAAAACAGATAGGCTTATCATGTATATAATATTAATACAGCAGATTTCGATAGAACTTAAAGGAGAACCGGACCTTTTTTAGCAGCGGCTACTGCGTTCCATGGACACCTGCAGCCAACTCCAAAGAGGAATACAGATGCGAGAGACCTCTAAGGAGTAAGATGGAATGCCACATAGTCTGTAATTAATTTGTTCTAGTTTTCTCTGCAAAATAGCAGTGCTTGTACAGGCTGGTACACAGCAGTACAAGCACTGCTATTTGGCGGCAGATTAGGTAAGACTGTGGTTTTTTTAACCGACTTCAAAAAGGAGGAGGCACTCAATTCGACTGTATTTTTAATGTGTGCGTTACCGTGAAACCTGGCAACTTTGCCATTTTTGGAAAGACTTAGAGCTTATGACCAATTTTCCAACAAAAAATGTACTGTCAGACTGGGCGCCAATGTTAAATGTGACATTATATTCTTCATAGATTTGGTATTAATTGATGATTTGAACAAATAGTAACATTAAATAGACAAAATAATCAAAAATAGAAAATGGCAAAGTTAACCTCACTTTGTGGCAACTTTGCCATCAGGGTTTATAAAGAAAAATACTGAGTAGTAATAATATTATTAATGCCCGACAACGCAGTAAAAATAATATAGACTTCTCTTTTCTTTTCCTTCACTTTTGATAAATCATCATAATCATTTGGTAAAATCGGTCTAATGGGTTGCTACTGTGAAACATCGATACAAACATACATACATAGAATGTCAAGTACAGAACACTGTTTAAATAGTTATAATCGGTTAAAAATATAGGTCGAAAGTGACAACCCTTGGTTGTAGCAAAACATGGCAAAGTAACCTTCACATCGTGGCATTACTAGTATGGTAACTTTGCCAAGTTAGTTTTGTAGATAAATATTAAGACTAACATGTTAAAAACGATATATTTACATTTGATAATCATTAATGTTACGTTACTACAAAGGTATAGATACCTACATTCAGTATTTCAAACAATAAAAAAACTAAAGTTCTGGAGCACTGAACAAAGAGGTTATTTCGCCGGAACAATTCCGCGTGAAAATAAAATGCCAAAATTAACTCTCATTTTACCGTATCGGCAGGGATGCTTTCAATTAGTTATTTTTCATTCTAAAAATGGCATATCTCGAAAAACGTTACCTTTTCCGTGTTAGTCGTAATTTTGTACTAGTACACCCCTGATGGCAAATTTAAAACTTCCATTGGTAAAGTTGTCAGACTTGACCTTATTACTTTTTTCTAGGTGAACCGATTTTGATGATTCTTTTTTATTTGAAAACTGGTCAATGGTGGAAATTTGATCAAGGTCTGACCAGTAGTTTTTGAGTTATCCTTAATAATTTATATTGAAGTCGGTGGTACAATTTTTTTAATTTTACCACTTGTATATATTAGAGAATTTATTTATTAGGGTACAAATGAGCACAGAGTCCACATGATGGTAAGTGGACGCTGTGGTCCAAAACATCTACATTTATCCTCGATTAAGAATCAAAATGCAGATGAGTTGTCACCCCTGAGGACCAAGAGGGGAATGTCTCCTTTCCAGTAAAAAGGGTCTCCGGTTCTCTACATTCACCATACGAAACACAGCAGCATTAAGCTGCTATTTTACGCTGGTATTCTGTGAGAGCGTGGTCCTAAACATTACATTCGTGCTACAACCATAATATAGCTGCACCATGGCTCTTCCGCGTAATAAACTAACTAGGTGTCTAACTATACAGACTTCTTTTTTATTTTACATATGGAAACGCCTACACATACCCGTCTTGTTGACTTGGGACGGGTTATATCGGACTCGCACCGACTAAAACCCATGGTGTTCCAACTTCGTCAAATATTGGCAGGACCAGGGGAGCTTTCGCACACATCCGCCGCTCCACCCCTTTACCATCTCCTTATCAGGTAAGACGCACCATAACACATGGCGCGCCTTCTTCCACAGCCTCCAACTTCACCTGCGCAACAGACGCCCCCGTGTCCGACGCGCAAAGGCCATGGAGCCAGGAAAAATGAGCACTCAGAAGCACTAGCCTTCCGGACCCCAGCAGCGGATCTGGTCTATGGCTCCGCCGCCAACCGCGATTCGGCTGCGGAGGGTAAGAAGAGCGGCGCCTCGCAATACCGACGCTCCTCTCCCCATGCAGCCCCACCACCACCGCATCAACGGTGCCACCCCATCAGAGTCGCGGAGGATAGGTCGAGTGGCACTTCACCATACCAACACTTCTCTTCCTCTGCGACTGCACCTTAGCTGCAGCTGTAGGTATAGAGGACACTCCTCTCGCCGCAGTCCACCAGCATACATCCCAAGTAGGCTCGCTAAGACCACTCGGAGTGCCTAAGGGAGCAAGGTTACAAAGGGGCGCGTGGGAAAATAAAATCCAAAGTATGATCGTGCGAGGCAAAAAATCAAAAAAAGATCAACATAATCTTGACAACTTTCGAGTGTTGGTCTCAAAAAAATTACCAACAAATTTGTATGCCGATGCATTTTTTATAAAAAATACATATTTTGCAAGCCCCAAAACAAAAATCAGCTTGTTATTAATAAATTTTTTCAAGTCACCATTCTGACATGTTAGAGCTGGGAGTCACTCGGAAGGTACCATTCACTTTGTATGCCACAAGTTTTTCTCAGCTTTCCATCGTATTTTCTCGAAGTATTGATTTTTAGAAACTGTTATTATTTAATTTGGGACACTCATCAAATCGACGTGTTTCGCTCCCTATCGCGTTTTTTCCTTCCACTATCAGAATTTGGTCCAATGATAAAAGTTGGGTGTCTTGTCAAAACGAAGCTGTGTATAAACTTTCAGCCTGTTTATTAATCACTGAAATCGCTTGTATGTGGGCCCGTGGACTAAAGTCATCGAGGTTTGAAGATGGAATTTCGTATTCTGATGCAGTGTAAGATGGTGGAATTCAGCAGCTGGAAATAATTCAAACAATTCCTCTGAGTACTCCTAATTGTATATGCTACCGTTTAGTTCTAAGCATTTTCTACCGAAGATGCATAGAGATGCAACGTCTCTTCGCAAGGCCAGTGTAGCAATCCGATATCCGATCGGAAAGAACTTGGTCGACGACGACTCGGGCCGATCTCCGTTGAATACGGTACCGTACGTTTCTCGAAATGTCGGCGCCAAAGATTCGAATGCTGGCTAAGGCAACGAGGGGAGTAGCCTGAAATTGAGGAGATGCGACATAGGGTTTCTTTTTGCGGTAAAATTAGCACAGCCGGTGTATAAGGCATCGCCAGTGCTGGTGCATAACAATGAATGTTACTAGTATGCAACATATCAATAATATGGAGAAGGAACAGGGTAGGCGATAGCACGCAGCCTTATTCAGCACTAGCATTCAGAGGCTTGGAGTCGGAGCATACACAGTCGACTAAGATTTTAACACTCTGATCTGTAAGAAAACTGTTGACCCGGAATTTCTCCGGAAGTCTATAAGAGGGAAGCTTTGAAAGAGGCGCTTTGTGCCAAATACAATCGAAAGGCTTCACTATGTGTAAACTAACCACCAGGGCCTTCCACTTGGTCTCGACTGCCTCCGCTCATCGGTGAATCAGGTAGACAAGAAAATTACCATCTGATCGACCTTGACGGAAACCGTATTGGCAGTCACTAATCTAATGATCTACATAATCTGGCAGTTAATAATAGTTTCCATTATTCTGGAGAACAAGGAGGCGATGGCGATAGGCCTGTAGTTGGACGGGTCCGAACGGACACCATTTTTAGGGATCGGGTGCACTAAGGCCATATTCCATGAGCTTGGAGCCACGCCTAAAGATTAAGAGAACCGGAAAAGACGCGTAAGAACCGGTACTAACTCTGCAGCACACGTCTTCAGCACAATTGCGGTGACTCCATCAGGCCCACTGTACTTATGTACGTCCGGAAACAGTAGAGCTTTACGCACTGAGCACTGTGTGTACCGAACATCCTGCTTTGAGCATTCGCACTGCTTAATTTTCGGCGGTAGATTCCGCCGATCGTCGAGAGTCAAGTTGGACGCAAAAAAAATAACCTAAAAGATAGGCCTTCTCCTTTGCGGCATGGGTCAGCAAGTCATTGCGTCTCAATCGGTCAAATGCATACGTACTGCATACACCTTGCTAATCAATGAACGAGGCCCTTTTGACCTAGCGATTTATCATTCGGAAAGTTCCCAATGCCACAGAGTAAAGTTGTGAAGTAAGTATAATAATTATTGTTAGTGACGATATTGGCCCTATGCTTCCGCAGCGCGGTATAAAGGCAAATCTTCAACTTTTAAAATGCATGCCAGTTGACGAATTCTTAAATATACTTAAATCCAGCAATGGGTAAAAAATTCAAAATTATTAAAGAAAAAGCAGGTAATAAAACAGGAGATCCCTCCCAATGATCTCGAAAATACATCAGGATTGTGTGTGATTGTGATTTTCAACTTGCTCTCTTGCTTACACAGTTAGTCATTATCAATAGTCATATCCTGCTTATTATTATCAATAATAAGTAGGGACTAAGCAATTACAGTCCGACCATTCCATAGCATGTCCCAGTCACAATTACACTGGTGTAACGTGAAAGATACAATTACACAGGACACCAAAGTATGCAAGCCAACAACACCACCCATCTCTAAGTAACACAGGGCAGTCTCTCAGCCACACCATCCTCCTTGCTTGCACTAGAAAAAGCCTGCCAAGCCTGCAAGTGTCGATATTGGTAAAACATGACCGTCGTTGCATTGCCGCAGTACGGACTAACCTCTTGATTAGTTCATACAGCGTCGTAGAAAATAGTCCTTTTCTAAAAGGCCTTTATATCTAGGACAATAAGATATAAAATAAAACAACATCGTGGAGGCGCATTTTATTCCCCAATCATTATACCACTACTGCTATATAACTTTATATCTTGCTTTATTAATCATGTGATGGGCGGAGGACTGGAGTTTGAGCAGTTCTTCTTTGATGAGGCGCGTTATTTCAGACTTCGCTTTAGCGACCGCTAGTTCTTGTGAGCTCTCTATCGCGAGGTATAATTTCCGTTCGCCCTCTGGCGGTGCTTTGCCCGGCGGTACGTACGTACCGCGTACAGTTATCCCTGCTTCTGAATACTCGCTGATTAATGCTAGCGCCTCCTGCAATAAAAATATACCAATGATTCTATAACTTGACTAAATTTTACAAACGAATATCATAATAAAGAATATTGTAAAAACACTATTCATAATCATCATTATCAGTATCAACAGCACGTAATAGTGCACTGTTGGATATGGGCCTCTTGGATTGCAAAGACGACCCTTATCACCCTATTGTTGTCCCGTAGGTTTCGTAAAACGCAAATATGTGAAATGTCTGAAAAATCTTATGATTTCCGCTAGATTGCGATATAACCAAATCGTTTAAGCCAGGGGGAAATACCTAGACTGTAAACGATGACCAACGTTAAAGATACGAGGCGTTTGATAAAGCGATCGTCTATTTACCTGTTAAATTTGATGATTAAGGCAAAAATTATATTAATAACTACTAATGCAATGAAGTCGTTTGGTATAGGTGTTATAGGAATATATTTTAGTCTTCCAAGACATACAATACATATTTTCAAAAGTAGAATATTGGCTCGAAAATTACTTGTCTTAAATAATATCTATATCTAAGTCTTAAATATTATATAATACCTTATTAAAGTATATCTAATGACAGTAATAACATCTATGCCGTTTTAATAATTTAACACAGAAAAATACAAGTGCACCAATCATAACAAGTTTGAGCAACATCTTGATTGAACGTCTCAAGAGCACACACTGAGCGAAGAGTTGATTTAATTGCAAATAAATATGTGCAAGGAATATATATGTATTTGTTTATGTTAGGGTTATCGCGACGACCACTGTGGCCTTTAGTAAATAAACAAACAAGGGCATCGGGTTGTAGACATGTAGAAAGCGATGAGAAAAATGAAAACAAATAAAAATGTCGGGTATGTAGAGGGCAATGAATCTATATTGAAGAAGTTCTAAGTTAAGACTGTCTGTCTGTAGGAGAAGTGTCACTGTGTCCACTGACACAAAGTAACCTGAATAAACAAGATAATTCAACGGAAAGATTTATAATATTATCAATGACAAATTGCTGCTGGCCCATCTAGACGCAAGGGCAATAATTGTCACTTGCTAGCCAATCATTTCAAAAGTTCAGGCCACATCATATGGGCTTATCTATCTTAATTACGCGAACACAAAAACGAACGAACAACACTCGTTCCCTCCTTCCAGATAAAGAATTGACTGCAGTGCAATTTAATGTCAGAAATACACAATCCCACTAAGATTTACGTGGTAGAGCCATGCTACAGCTATATTAGTACCTACATGGTATAGTTGTGGCATGAATGTGTCGGCTCGACGGGGGAAAGCCATGCTCTCACAGAGTACCAGCTTAAAGTAGCAGCTCAACGCTGCTGTGTTTCGTATGGTGAGTGTAAAGAACCGGAGACCCTTTTTACTGGAAAAGAGGCATTCCATCTTAGTCCTCACGGATGACAACGCATCTGCATTTTAATTCGTAATCGAGGATAGATGAAGATGTCTATGGGCCACAGTAACTACTTAACATCAGGCGACTGTGGGCTCGTTTGTCACCATTACCCTATTAAAAATAAAGATGGAACGCCTCGTTACCAACAGGGTTTCCGGTTCTCGTCACTCACCATACATCAGCATTATGATGTTAATTGGTATTCTGTGAGAACGTGGACCTTCCCCGATAGAGCCGACCCCTTCGTTCTACAACAGCATGCAGCTGCAGTGTGGCTCTACGTGGAAAATATGTTAACGCATGCTAAGTGTACGTGCTGTCTGTATGCTCTAGTCTAGTTGCCGTAAAACTCCAATAATATTCGTTTCATAGATGTCATAGAAGGAAAATTATTTTAAAATTTTGATCCATCATGACACAATACCATTTCAACATTATTATTTTATTTATTTTAAAGAATATTCATAAGATATTTCAAACAATTTACTTTTTTAAAATTTTTTATACTCATTTTAAATTTATTGTACGTATGGCTGAGCGCTGCACGCTCACCGTCCCCTATCGCAAAAACAGTTGAGCGCATAAAAAAATGTTTAAAATAAAATTTGTCGCAAATTTTATGCTATACAATTTTTATAATAGTTGTTAACATCATGGGAGCAATAGAAACCGAGATAATCATGAATAACTTGTTTTTTTTACCTTTGACCTTTTTTTATTTATTCAGGACAACAAACAATTACATAATAATGCTTAAACCAAATAACATTTTATAAACAATATTAGTCATTATGTAACCAGCACCGTTATCCACAAAGTAATATTAAATTGGTAACAGTAAATAATAAATGCACAATAAACAGAGTATAAGTAAAAAAGGGAAAATAAAATAAAATTGACAGTATCGAGTAACATAAAAATCAAAATAAGACAAAAGGGAAAAAAATTGCTAACAGTACAAATTTATCTTGTAAAATATTTTAAGATACTATTGAATGTCTACCAACTTTCTTAGAACGTTCTTGCGAAATTGTAACTGTGATAAGGTGAATAGATCAATATTTGAAAAATGCATGTTATATACTTTCATAATACGTCTTAATGGGACGCGTTCACCTGCATTGGTTTTACATAGTTTAGGCGCATACACGTCTCTAATGCGTTGAGAACGACTAAGGACACGGATATATATTTTGCTAAGTAATTCACTACAATCTAAATCATTTCGAATTATTTTGAATAATCGTATTACATCAAAGTATATTCTTCTTGCTTTTAAAGTATGAATTGAAAACTTTTTTAATAAGTTGCGATACGATGATTTAGCGTGGTAACATTTATAATTTATAAAACGAAGAAACTTTGCTAGTAATAATTCTAGAAGTTCACCGTATTTATTATAATAGGGATTCCATACTTGCGTTTGACCTTGAATAACTCACGACGGAGACACGAAATTTTATGAGATTTTTGAGACAACTTTAAGAATTCCTAAATGAAGTTATCTCTCATTCCGAGGTTGGAGGACCTCTTTTTTATGGTAAAGTGATTGGACTACATAGAACATAGTATGTATGTGGAAACCTGGAAATCTTTTGCGGTTAGCCCTTATATTGTGTAACCGTAAGTTAACTGTGTGACCCATAAGCCATCCCAAGCGTCCTTATTACAAAAAGTAGTTTATAATAATTAGTCTCAGGTTTAATCTAGTCTGTTGCACGAACTTTCTGTAGTCCTGCGGAAATATACGAACTAAAATAATATATAGTATGAAGTTAAACAGCAAAGGTAAACAAGACGAAGATCAACAACTTTATACGTGGTAGAGCCATGCTGCAGCTATATTAGTAGTATAGTTGTAGCACGAATGGGTCGGCTCGACCGGGGAAGGACCACGCTCTCACAGAATATCAACGTGAAATAGCAGCTTCACACTGCTGTGTTTTGTATGGTGAGTGTAGAGAACCGGAGACCCTTTTTACTGGAAAAGAGGCATTCCATCTTAGTCCTCACGGGTGACAACGCATCTGCACTTTGATTCGCAAACGAGGATAGATGTAGATGTCTATGGGCCACAGCAACCACTTACCATCAGGTGGACTGTGTGCTCGTTTGTCACCCTATCCTATAAAAAAAAATTATCGACCAATTACTCTCCTACTTATAATATTAAAAAGTTTTTGAGAAATGTTTCTACAAGAGATTAGAGTTTTGTGAGAAATTTTATATAAGTAATAAAAAAAGAACAACATGGCTTCCAGAAAAAGTCTACAACCCTAGTAACTTTTAATCTTTTAAAAATAATAACTTCTAGTTTAAATAATTTTTTTATTTTTATTTTTATATTATTAGGGATAACAACAGCCTTCATTCTGTGATACATAATTCTTATATAATATGTCTTTACATAGGGCCAATAACAGTCATCCACTTTTTACAATTTAGCATGAATCAGAAGTAAGAAAAGAAAAGTAACAAAAACTTTGATCAAAAACAATACTAAGTTTGTCATGGCTGATCTAGGAAAATATATATGCTTTAATAAGATAATATAATATATATACATATATACACATACATATACATACACACACATACACATATGTAGACATACATCAACATCACATATAATCAAATTTATTTAAATACTTATGCATATAGGTAAACATATATATACAAACATAAAATAAATAACTATACATACAATATACCCACGTACACACACATACACACATTACACACATATACACACATTATATAAAATTCCTTTTATGTCAATTAGCAAATTGGACATCTAAATTGAGATGCTACTACGGATACCCTAAATTGAGATGCTACACGGATACCAACATAAACAATAAAGATTAATTAAGATTAATAAAGATTAATGATTAATAAAGATTAATTATAAAGATTAATTATAGATTATATGCCGATGATAATAACCTACACACCACACCAAGACTTCGTCCTTTACAACCATGCCTTGGTTGTAAAGGACCAAGCTTGCTTGGGAGGTGTTGGTTACCTTGCTGGTGACCCTCCAGCGCGCCTGCTGCGGGAAGTCGTTGATCTCGAGCTCGGTCTCGTACTTGCGGAACACCTCCTCGGCTGGCTCGGCGTTGCTCTCGTCGCGCGGCTGGTAGTTCAGCCGCGTGTTCAGCTTTGCAGCCAACTGCTCCGCAACGGTCTTCGCCTACCAAAATTATATAAATAATAATTAATTTTTATATTTCGCTATGATGTCTTTATATCTGATTATGAAGCATACTGAGACGTGGTCCTTTATTTTTGGCCTGCATGATGAAGAATAAGACGACGACGCCGATGATGATGATGTTTACGAAGTTAAATATATAAATCATCAGCGAAGCCTGAGCCAATTTTTGTGAATTATATTTAGAAAGAAGAAATAAATAAATAGAAGGTGAGCGTTAGGTACCGTGATGAGCGTGTGCGCGGACAGCGAGCCCTTGAGGATGGCCTCGGCGGCCTGCTGCGTGGCGCCCTTGTGCTCGACGCCGAGCCCCTTGGCCAGGTTGATGCGCGAGGCCAGGCGCCGTGCCAGCTCCAGCTTGCCGTCCGCGCCCGCGCCCGCGCCGCCCGCCGCGCCCACCGCACCCACCGCGCCCGGCTGTCACCACAACACCAAACAATATATACACTACGCGAAAAGAAACGACACTCAAGCATGTGTGCACGTACAATCGCTTGCGGCTATGTGTGGGTGTCTGGACGTGTGCGGGCGCCTTGAGAGGCACGCGGGACGTGGAACGGGCCGTCGCCGACTGCCCTGGCCTAAGGCTAGTACGTAGTAGTTCGCATCTCGTCTCTCTATACCATTCTATATTTCTATTTTATGGCTTTAATAAAAATAATGTTGTTTTTGTCGCCAAACCACACACGTTTTTATTGTTTCCTTGCCATCCTGTCCATCCAAAGGTTGTCTGGAAGAGATCGCTCTTAGCAATAAAACCAGCCATTATACCACATTCACTTTTCTAATTTTTTGTTAATATTTATGTTATTTTTTGGCGTACAATAAAGTGTTATCTATCTATCTATGCTTCCCTATGGATTTTCAAAAAAAATTACACATACGGCAACGAATTTTTGCAATTCTTAGAAATAATAATAAAAGTTATAAAAGTCATCGAAAAAGCCAAAAATATATAAGAATAAGTAATTTTTAAAGGGTAGTAGGTAATAATAATCATATTGCGTACTAAAATACTAAATATTGGTTAATTATTTAAAATTACCATATTTTGTTTTGTCGGAAATTTTAATATTTCCCATCTGTAAAGATATTTAATAAAAGTTGATTTAAAATTGATCGTATCTTTCACTACTTAAATACATAAGTTTATATTTTATAACATATACCTACTATGTATCTTCTTTGACACAAGTCTATAATATTCCATTTCGGTTCGGTATCAACCCTAGCGTTACACGCTTCGGTTTAATGTCACTAGCGCTTGAATTCTCACGTACAAAGTGTCACCGCTGTGAGTGTGACAACACGCCGACGTTAATTAACAGATATAATGTTATTGCTGTTACGACTTGCCAATTAAAGCAGGTAAAGGTTTTATACCATACAGCCTTGTCTAATTTGTATTTTTTTTTCACAAAAAATCTACAGTATGTCGATGCGTCACATTATGAAGTTTTTATTAGATTTTGACGATAGTTTAACCCAGACAGACAGTTGAAAACGATTGTATCTCAAACCGCCCAAGCGGATAAAAAACTTTAAATTAAAATCACTATCGTAGCACTTGTAAAATCATTTTTTTTACTTATTATACTATTATTTAGTACATAGAATCGCAACAATTTCACGTATCAAAACCCAATTCAAACCATAATTTGAACTATATAGGAGCAATAATCTAATTCGTCGGCGGTCATGTTCTCGCCAAAATTCCAACACGTAGTACAACATCAAAGTAGAATTGCCAATTCACATGCAAGCAAATCAATTATTGGGTATTTTTGTTAAGAAATTTTCAGTAGCATACCAGAGTCAAGAAGTTGGCGGCCATGCCTCAATAAGCACGTAAAGCCGTTTGTCCTACGCCTGATCTTTCATGGTGGTCTCGCAAAAATTGACCGCCGCTGGAAATTCGAGTCATGATCTGCCCCCTTAGCATGAGTTTTCTATCGTATTGAATTCGTATTGCCATCTAATAACTTTGTATGACAAAACGTAATTCAATTTACGTCCGCCACATTACGAGGCGCTGTTAATATTTGCATACAGTTTGAGTCGATGATACGAAAACGTTATCGCCCAAAACTTGAGCAAAGGGTACTGATATGTAATTTCTTTTTTCATGTGCGAAAGAACTGATGCCGATTTTGGAGCACAAGTCTTCAGCACAAATGACAGATACCATCAGGCCCTATCGATTTGTTCACTTCCAGAGTAAGGAATTATTTTCACCTTAAGCTCTGCAAAACCAAAATACGTCATAGTCGGCGATGTATTCCTCCTGTCGTCGAAACGAATTGGACTTAAATAGAGAAATGATTTCACCGAAAAGAAGTCCATGGAATGGAAATTGTCCATGGATGCACAATTTCCCGAAAGAAAGCAAACTGTATTTCCTCAGCTATTAAAAAAGCTTATTAATTGATCTTTTTTCACAATCTCTACAATACCTTGATTTCCTTAACAATCTTCTTAGCAGCTAGCATAGTCTCTATTTGTTGATCCAAATCGCCTTCCACGTCTTCGTCATCAGAATCCTGGAGCCCTAGCGCAGCTTTTTGATACTTCTTTTTTTCCGATGCAGCTTGAGCCTCAGATTCGTCGAATTTAAAACCTGTATATAGATTAAAAGTTAAGAAGTGCATGTAAAAAAATTAACAAAACACTTTCACAAGGTGGCAGTAATCTATTCTGCCTGGGTAGATATCACACCCTTATTTCTGCTGCCAAGTGGCTGTGGCTCTACTATACTATACTATATGTAATAAAAGCTTCCCCTTTAATCTTCCAACTTGCACGATATTACTCCATTATTCATTAAAATGATGGTCAATATCTGTCTGTCACTAACTTATGGCGCATAGTTGTGGACGTGAACCTAATATATTATATGAAAAAAAAATGCTCCTGCTTTCTTTTCATATATTATATTATTTATATAATTCTAGGAACACTCACCTTTACCACTAAAACCTCCTCCGGTATGCACTTTTTTGCCCTCTTTCTCTTGCGCCTCTTTGTAACGTTCCCACAACTGTCGCAATTCCGGCGGCGGCGTAGCACCAGCCAGCTCGAACGCTCGTAACACGTCGCCCGCGTAGCGGCCTTGCTCCGGCGTGAGGAATGTCCAAGCGTAGCCTTTGTTACCCGCCCGGCCTGTACGACCGCATCTGAGATAAAGTCAATCTCATTTGATATAAAATAAGCAACAATATAACATACGGATTTGAGACCTGCCTCATATGACCTATGGCCAGCAGTCCAGGTCATATGAGGCAGCTCACTGTCGTTCAGCAAGCTACGGAGAAGGTGGTGCTTGGGGTTTCTGTACATGATAAATTTAGAAATGAGGATATCCGTAGAAAAATCAGAGTAACCGACATAGCCCATCAGATTAGTAAGCTGAAGTGGCAATGGCCGGCCATATAGTTCGATGAATAGACCACCGATTGAAAAGATAGGTTCTCGAGTGGCCTCGTACCGGTAGGCGCGGTGCAGTGCGACCCACAACTAGATGGAGCGACGACCTGGTAAGAATAAGATATGTAAGAAGTCGATAGATGCAGGTGGCTCATGGCCGTGCTGTTTTTTTTTTATAGGATAAGGGTGACAAACGAGCTCACTGTCCACCTGATGGTAAGTGGTTGCTGTGGACCATAAACATCAACATCTATCCTCAATTACGAACCAAAATGCAGATGCGTTGTCACCCGGCCGTGAGGACTAAGATGGAATGCCTAGTTTCCAGTAAAATGGGACTCCGTTTCTCTATACTCACCATACGAAACACAGCAGCGTTGAACTGCTATTTTACGCTGGTATTCTGGTATTCTGCTACAACTATACCACTAATATAGTTGCACCATGGCTCTACCACGCAAACATGTGTGGCGTTCCTTATGGAAGGCCTATCTATGTTCAGCAGTGAACTTGTGATGTACTGCAATAATTATGATGAAGCAGCAATAATTATATAAAAAAAAAAACAAAACATTAGGACTCTCTGTTTAAACTAGAGGACTAATAATCCTCATACTAAAAAGCGTGATTCTGGATCTCAAAAACGTTTATCAAAGAAAACAAAGAAAAATAACGCTAAGCCCTGATTCAAAGTCTGGAAAAAAGATAATTATCTATATATGTCAATAAATTTCTCATTACAATGCATTAGAGTTGACTAAAAGATTTTTGTTCAAATGAAAAATTATAATATTTAAATTATGTTTATTAACTTGGATATACTTAATTAAAAATAAAGTAAACATTCTACAGCTGGGCACATCTCTCCTTTCATTTCTCAGAGGATGGAGCATTTAGTCAACCACGCTACTCTAGTACAGGTTGAAGAACTTTACATGATCTTGAAATGTTTTATTTCTCAGATGTGCAGATGTATGTGATAAATCACCACTTTAAAATACAGTTGACAATTTCTTCAGTGTCAGGGGACAGCGCACCAGAGTTGCTCGCGTACTGTGAAATTTTTAGCATAGCCCATTAACTACCACGGTTACAGGTACATGCGTGGTCGCTGAGGACTGAAATGGAATGCCTCGTAACCAGTAAAAAGGGTATCTAGTTCTCATTATGCCTCATACGATATACAGCCATTGAGCTATTATGTACTACGTACTAGAGGCGACACTGCATTATGTTACGCTGTTCCATTCAACTGCGGTGATATTGCCGCACTTTACTCAGTCGCTCGCTAGGCGTTAGTGAGTTGACACATGCTGTGTTGAATTATATAAAAAATTCTTGATAAAATACGCCATGGTGTGTTTTAGAAATTGCACAAATAATTCAAGAAATGTTAGCAAATACCAAGGAATAACTTTTCATCGGTGAGTATTTTACTAAAGTTAATAATTAATCAAACAAATTATTCAAAAGACACCATCTCGGGTCATGAAATATAGATTATGAAATTAATTTGTTCAGATGCGACGTTTCTGTAGGTACTTAAGTCTGAGAATAATTATGCATAATATAATATGTTGTTTTTTTGTAGAAACAAATGGAAGTATTTATAATTAGGCTAATTTTCTGATATTTAAAGAGCAATGGCAGAAAAATAGTTGACAATAATTATAGCGTCTAGAAATAAGTTATATATAAAATGAGTTTTACTATATTTCTATGATTTTTCAAATAAAAATGTATTTTAATTAAAGCCACAGAAAAAAACAAACATATTTGGGAATATCAAATGACTTAAAATCATTTTAATCTATTCAAATGTTGCCATTTAGTATTTTCATACTATTTTCGTATATACTTTGTAAGACTACCAACACAACACACAAAATATTTTTATATTAAGTTATTATTATTAATAACTGTACTATCAGTAATAATAAAAATAAAAGTGATATGGCAGAAAATAAGTCTCTTGCAAAGAATTTCCTACAATAATGCATTATCTCAATCATAGTACTATGTAACAATTCCATTTAAAGTTATGCCAACACTAGTTAAAATAAAATGTCACTGTTTTTTTTTACTGGCTTTACGGCTCTGGGTTCTAGCCCTTCTGAGAATGTCACTATGACACAAAAGCCCTGGAGCCATGCCAGAAATATACATTTATAGTATACAAATATATAATAGAGATACAATAATCTAAAACCTCTCAATTATGTATTATGTATTAAGCTAACATCAAACAACCACAGGAAGCATGACTTTTTCCAAGTGACATAGGACATAACCTAAAAAGGTTCAAATGTAAATATCTTTTTTTTGACGCCTTCCCAGTACGAAATTCTTTGACAGATTTATTAAGGGACTGACGCTTAACATTTTAAGATATTTTTGGTATATAGACGCTACCATTTCTTCTCAACTAATTTTATGTATGAAAGTCTGCCATTGCTCTTTGCTGATTATTCTTTTATTTTATTTTTAGGTTTCCACGTCCAAGCCATGAAAACAGGGAAAAATGGACTAAATTCATCAATTTTTTAACTCTCGCGTGCCCAGCATTTATGAACGACTCTTATTCTAATCTAAATAAATATATTTGTAAATTATATGTTATATCAATAAGTTTTGTTACAAATGCATTAAGTATGTTTTTTTTATATTTTACATAGTTACCTTTTAAAATATTCAAATAAAAATATCATTTAAATGTAATTCAGAAATCAGCAGTACCATGCGATAACATAATTATATTATTATATAACATTGCTGGTTTTTTACTAACTTTAGTTTTATTTTCTGATTAGACGACGAACGAATTTTTTGTAATGTTCAGTATATTTACGGGACTTAAGAGAGGTGGAACCCTCTGCGCGCGAGTCACACTAGTATATGGCGGTTTTTTAATACTGTAACGCTAGAAGTTTTACAGGCTTCCCAAATAATTAGTATCTTTTTTTTCAGCCAACAAAATGCGGTGAACAGGAAGTATCAGAACCGTTGTCTGAATCAATGAGCAGTTCAAATTCAATTTTTGATAGTCCGAGCAAAATTGTACTGACATATAAATTACGCAAGTGATATCTCCTAAGCCAAACTTGAGTGATGTATACGAAGCCTAAGTTTTTAAATATAATTCTACCTTAGTAACGGAATCAATAATTCTAGGTCATTATAAAAATAATAAAATATGAGCACGTTGTAATATTGTGTTTGTATTTAATAGCAAGCAATCTGCAGCTAGAAAGAAACTTACTGAGAAATTTAAGAAAACACAAAGCCAAAATATTTATCTAAAGAAAAAATGCGCTTTTTACAAATCAATTGGACAAAATTTTAAACATAAATTCGGTCTCAAACTAAATTCTTAGATTGATTTAATGGCTAAGATTCATGTAACTCCACAACTCCTGAGTTGTGGAGTTACATGAATCTTTAATGAAAAAGAATAAACAAAGCACGCATTATTTATTATACTGCATGCACCTTAACGTAAATTCGCATTGATTTTACACTATTATTCACCAGCTGCGTATAAATACGTTAGAGAATTCTAGAAAAGTAGTAATAATGATCTTTGAAAATAAATTCATATTTTTTATACTTTACATATTTATCTTTTAAAGTATTAAATAAAATATCATTAAAATGTAATTCTGTCATAATATTATGTAATATTAAATTAACACATAAATGCAAAATAAATAACTAAAATATTGTATGTACTCGATATAATTTACAATACAATCTAAATAAACAATTACTTATTACATACTACTGATCATTCTACCTACGTATAACCTATGATGACAAAAACCGCGCATGCGCGACTCTACTATTTACCGCGCATGCGCGAAGACATAGAGTAGCACACATTTTTTGTTTGGAATAGCTTCTCTAGTACGTAGTACATTATAACTCAATGTATACAGCAGCATTATGCTGATATTTCACGCCGATAATACGAGTGTGGCCCTCCTCTGGTCCAACCCATCAATTCTGCACTGCAATGTGACTGCCTGATGCAAACGTACCTGTGCACGTAGTCCTCGTAGTGGTTGGGGCAGTCGTAGTTGACGACGAGCACAAGCTGCTTAACGTCGAGGCCGCGCGCCGCCACACTGGTGGCCACCAGCAGCCGCACCTTGCCCGACTTAAAGTCCACTATCGTCGAGTCCCTGTCGAATTGATCAATGCCTGTAACAGGCCAGCGTCAGTACATTTACGTATCGTTACAGCACGGTGGACACCACGTGTTCAATAAAAGAAATGGATCCATGTCCCATCTAATATTGAATCCTACTGACTCTCAAGTCAACCTTAAACTTATCAAAGTTTAAGGTTTACTTGAGATCATCTATTGTCGAGTCTGTAATAGTAACAGTGAGTGATGTGAGATGAAGGCCAAATTGGCCTCTAAAAAGCTTGGCGTACTCAGCAGAGCGGGACAGTTTCATGCCGGCACACCAATTTCAACTCTACCAAGGCGCAGGTTCGGCCCCACATGGAATACTGCTCCCATCTCTGGGCTGAGGCCCCTAAGTGCCAGCTCCTTCCACTTGACCGCATCCAGCGCAGAGCAGCCAGATTCTTCGACGACCGAGTTACCGAGTTATTTCCGATCGCCATGACTCACTGGCACAGCGAAGAGATGTTGCACCTCTTTGCGTATTTTATCGCGTCTACCACGGGGATAGCTCTGAGCAATTGTTTGGACCAATTCCAGCCGCTTAATTTCACCATCGCACATCGCGACAAAACTTGCGATACCATCCATACCATCTTGATGATTGGCGGTCCACCACTGTGCGATTTAGAAGTTTTCTTCCTCTCACAACTTCCTTGTGGAATCGACTACCACTAGAGATTTTTCCGGATCGATACGACTTAGGGCCCTTCAACTTCAGGAAAAGAGCCTACTCTTTTTAAAACCAGGCGACGCATCTGCAATTCCCCTGGTGTTGCAGTATTTATGAGCAGCGGTAGTCATCAGGTGAGCCGCATGCTCGTTTGCCCCCTCTGCTAAAAAAAGGACGTATGATAATTACAACAGGAGAAATTAAAAAAAATTTGGGTTCCTCTAAATTTGTCCATGAGTGTAGTTTTAAAATATAAAAGATTACTTTTGAAAACTTAATTTTATACGGTAAAAAGGATTATTGAGTAAAGGTCGCTGTGATGATAAATTAACTATTTGGCCGCTTTTAAATAAATCTAGTCTTTAGTACTAAACTACTTTACAGCACCCATGGTCACGGAGAAGACAGTGGTGTTAATGTCCTAATATCATAGTTAACCACGGCTACCTTCAGATTAAAATTATTAATTCTTTTCGCCAAAATACGTTGAACAACTCAGTCCCCCTTGTGACAGTGCCTCGGGAATATAAAATAAGTTAATATACGCGATAAAATCCATAAAAAACTAGTATTATTTAAATATGTAGTGTACCTATAACATAAGAATTTATTATATGGCCGCTCTTCTTCTATTGTTCTTTTTAAGGCGGCTCTTCACGTTGGCCAACACACAGGCGAATGTGTTGGCCCACAACGATGGCCATCGTGTAGAGCGGGTGTTTAAGCTACATTGGTATGTATTGGAACGATGGCCCACAAGTTGGCGCGAGATCCGTGTGGTGTCGGTTTTTTGCAAAAGATCAAAGGGTTGTGGCAGAGTATTGGCCGTCGCGTCCACACGTTGGGCGCACGTTCAGTTTGCTACGAGCACCCAGAGTGAACGCACCTGATTTAAATTTTATATGCACGCATCTTAACTAGTGTCTACATAACGGCAGTAACAATGACCAATAAAAAAACTTTTCGCTTTATAGAGCCCTACCAAGCCGAAAATTGTTTGTAAAACACAAGTCTTTTTTAAAAAAAAATGTTATTATACACTAGGATTTTCTCCTGTATCGTGGAGGCAGTTTAGAAACATAAACTGCATAAGGACAAACATCCGGCCCCGGAGAAATTATGTGCAGGCTATACAAATACTTGTTCCGTGCGGGATTCGGACCCGCGGCCCTCAGGGCAGCAACTCATTGCTAAGCCACTACGCCACGGAGCCGTCAAGAAATAAAATTTCTTTTTTCCATTTCTTTTTGATCACCCTTATCTTATACACATTCACGTTGTAGTGATTAATTGTGTATTAATTAATTTATTGATGTATTAATTGATTTTGGCTTCGAATATTTTCCAGGCCTTAGTTGTAAAAGTGTTAATTATACTATGCCTAGGTGTGTTAATGTTTATATAGTTCACTTATCTGTATAACGTTAGTGTATAATAAAGAAATATTAAAAATTTATATTAAAAATATTAAATATAAAAAATAGTGAAAATTAAATAAAAAAATAGTGGTATGCTGTGAATATATAAACCGCAGCAGCCGTTAGCGCATCAATAATCATTTTAATAAATTCGTCCGCACATTGGCCTGAACCGAAGCAAACTGAACGACCTTCCAACGTGTGGACGCGATCACAATTTCTTGGCCAATAACTCTGCCAACACATTCGCCACTGTGTTGGCCAAAGTGAAGAGGCGCCATTACTTTTACACCCTTTTACTCAAAAAGTAAAGGTCGAAAAAGTGAAACACTGCCGTACGAGCTGATATCATAGACACAGACGCAGAGACATAGACAACAGACACAGTTGTATAATAAATACAAGCTTTATATTACAAATTTTTTAGCGCGGAACCCTAATTATTTTACTAAAATAAAAATAGCATAAGTTACTTATAACATCACCTATCTTCCAATAAAATTCCCCATCTAAATCTTCAAAACTAATTATCTTTAATTTTATAACAAAAAACATCAGTCAATCTGTCAAGCCCTGCTGGTCCACATCGGTCTCCTCACGTGACGAATTTGAAGACCCCTTCAAAGAATATCTATACATATAATAAAACTGTAAGTAGCAGATGTCTGTACATTTTATATTTTTGTAATAAAAGTGATTGAGGGGTACTAAAAATAAGTAATTAAATACATTTCTACCATTTTTAGAATTTTCTGTCTGTCTGTCTGTCTGTCTGTTTGTTTGTTAACGTATCACGTATAAAGTACTAATTTATATCATAAGAATTGTTAAGGAAATTATAAAGTGTATCTTCGGGTTACATTTAGTCTTTATTTCATTAAAATCAGTTCATTCCATCAAAAGTTATGATAAATATTCTGAAGTATGGGTAGGGAAGTATAGGTACGAATTTGCTCAACGGTGGCTTTGTTTGAGTCATCAAGTGCATTTTAAACTAATATCATATCATAAATCATAGTTAAATTATGTAAAATAATGATATAATTATGTATATCTAAAACGCAGTAAACAAAAGTAATAAAGAACGTATTAAATATATTATACAAAAATATATTAACGTTATTAACTAAATCTGAAGCACAATAGTTAACACATTTCTTCGATAGATGGTGGTGTTGTGAAAATGTAACGCAATTGCAAATGTGGTTTTTTCCTGTAGATGAGTTTTCATATTTACTGCTAATCTTTATTATATTACTCGCTGACCTACTGCGTGTTGACAAACTCAATTTATTATTTACCGCCGAGTACTCTATGTGGTAAATCAAATTTTAAAAGAGCTATTAACAATTGCATTGGTTTTGGCGAGAGTCAAACTTTATTTTTTGCTTACTGTGCAGGCACTGATTTATAAGTTCTCTTACGTTTTATATAATGTATCAAACGCGTCAATTAATCTCTTTTATTTTTAGAATTGATGATGTTAGCAGCGCCATCTCTCTTTAAATATATACATATAATAAAAATGATGATAACATGTTGTGTCTCTTTCTGTACATTGTATATATATTTTGGTGGCTAAAATCATTATGATGAACTGAAAATAATTAAATAAGAACATTTTATAATTTTTAGAATTGTCTGTCTGTCTATTTGTCTGTTATTATATGAACGCATCACGTCTAAAGTAAACATCTTTTATTTTCAAAGAAATCGTTAAGAATATCATAAAGCGTATCTTCGAGTTACATTTAATCTTTTTTTTATTAAAATTGGTTAATTCTATCGAAAGTAATGATTATTATTTTGAAATGTAGATTCGAATTTGTTCAATGGCGCCATAAAATCTCAGAAATAGTAATAAAAAGATTTCTGTGTAAAAAAAACGTTCCATAATAATTAATATATTTATACTTAAAACACAAAAAGAGATAGGATGTTTTCTCACACAAAGGACGTAATAGATGGAGTTGTACAAATTACAAACTTTTCTGAATTGCTGTGTTGAGATTTTTCGCCGATGAATCGTATTGAGACTTACTGAAGAAATTTGTATACATCGAAGCCATACAACGGAACCCGACCAAAAATAAAAATTTTGCAACGAAATGTCGTGATATTGTATTTATAATATACGCAAAATCAGAACTGCCATTTTAGCGCTTTGGGAACTAGATTTAGCACTTTTTTGGAATGTATAGCGCGCATTTCGAAATTTTAGCACCTAGCGCTTAATCCAGCGCTTTTTGGTGTATTTAGCACACATTTCAATATTTTAGCGACTACTTATTAACTCTTTTACAGCAGCACTGTTAGTCCACATTACCGATAATAATAATAATGAACTTTATTATTTTTTCCCACAAATAGTACATTGCAGTTTATCTTTTTCAAACATATTTTTTCCACAAAACAAAGAGCATGGGAGACGAGTCCAAACTAGGATACCCTGTGCTATGGATCTCCTGGCTTCCCCTTTAGGATGATCAACTTGATTTTTTTACCGACGACTATAAGCGGGGAAATCCCCTTTATTAAAGTTTTCGTTCATGGTTTTGGCATCGCATTTATTTTGCTTTATTCAGTTTAAGTCAGTTGCTTAGAGCACAGCTAAGTTAAAAGTTACTTAGAAGTTATAACACAAAGAAACTGTGTAGCAACCGCAATCAGATGCTGACATCTGAAACTAAGTTGCGAAATACATTGCACTTTAAAACAACACTACTACTGTTGACAGCAATTGCTATAATTATAAGTCGATGTCCTGCGAAGTATTGATACATCAAAAAATATTGCCAGAAAAAAAACTTAATGTTGTTTTCTTTATTATGATTATATAAAAAAACACAAACTTTGTTTGTAGTTAATTTAGCGCGAAATCTAGGGCTTTTTTAAAGTGCTGTTTTCATGAAATCTAGCG